ACAACTCCTAACTCATATGTAGTACTTGGTGTTCAGGAGATGGCTTTTCCCTGTTTGTCTTTGCATGGTGGTATTTGAAGGTAAGCAAAGCATGGTCTTTAAAATTAGGTGTAGCATGTTTTCGTTCCTCAAATATTTCTTGAATGCCTAATACTTGGAAAGTTGAGAAGCTCCTCCACCGAAGACAGTCTCTAGAGGCTGTTCTGCAGTGATTTGCCTAAAGCGTTTCTAAGATCAGCGACAGTTAATGACGTCTGTAGTAACTTTGTGTAATCTTGTTCTTGTCTGTGAAAGTTTATCAGTTTAGAATTTCTACGTATAAACGTATGATTTCTCTGTACGCTGTGGTGAGAGACAGTATTTTAAGAAGCATGGCACAAGACCTCAAGGAACTTACAGTCAACGTAATGTGGTTTATTATGGTTAAATGTCTCAGACTCTTTTTATGGTGCTTTAGTAGTCATTATGTAGAGTGTGGTGTTGGGCTCACCCTCTAGAGTTAGACCCAACTTCAAATCCTAGGACTGCTGCTTTCTATCCATGAGATCTCAGATTTTCTAAGTCTCAGGTGCTTCTTGAGGAGTAGTAGTATTACCACAGGGTAGTAGTAAGGATAAAATGTAGTAACATATGTAAGACTTTAGTAGAATGCTGACACATAGTAAGTACTTACCTTTAGGTGTTATGAATTCTATTATCCTGTGAGTTTTTTTTTTTTTTTCCTTTTCTTTAATTGTTGGAGTAGGGATAATACTGTTTGGTCTTAAGTTCATTAAACAATTACAAATGGCTACTATCTGCTAATCACTTTTGGGGAAACAAAAGTAGTTGAATATATGTGGCTCATAGCTCAAAAGAGCTAACAGTTTTTGAATTAAAAAAATTAATAAATAGCAACAAACATGGGGCTTATTATATTCCAGGCATTCTTTACTCAGTGTTAATAAGTATGCTATGAGGTAGTTACTGTTGTTTTCACCATTTCACAGATAAAGGAATTTAAGTAGGAAGAAGACAAGTGATTTGCCCAAGATCTCTCTGCTAGCGAGTGATGGAGCCAGGTTTTACAACTAAGCTGTTAGACTCTGAGAACACAATATTTAATCGTTCTGTCCTGCCTCCAGAAACAAGGCTTGCACATCTGAAAGATTCAGGACCTTTATGGCAGTGTCAGTGCGGTGGATCTAGGCTATGGGGTGTAAGACTTAGGAGGGAGGAATCAGTAACGGCCAGGATGTTCAGTAAAGGGAGAAAGCTGTCATTTAGCAGAACTTGCAATGTGTCAGGCTCTCACATATTGGCTCCTTCATTTGTCACAGTGTTCCCAGGAGGAGCATTTTATTATGAATCCCTTTTTTAGTTAATGGAGGCTCAGGAAGTTTAAGTGACTTACCAAAATTCACATAGCTGGTAAATGGTATAGATGGGATTTTTTTTTTTATCTTTTATTTTTAAAATTAATTTATTTTATTAATTTATTTTTGGCTGCGTTGGATCTTCGTTGCAGTGCGCGGGCTTCTCATTGCAGTGGCTTCTCTTGTTGCAGAGCATGGGCTCTAGGCGCGCTTCAGTAGTTTTGGCACACGGACTTCAGTAGTTGTGGCTCGCGGGCTCAGTAGTTGTGGCTCACAGGCTCTAGAGCGGAGGCTCAGTAGTTGTGGTGCGTGGGCTTACTTGCTCCATGGCATGTGGGATCTTCCCGGACCAGGGCTCAAACCTGTGTCCCCTGTATTGGCAGGCATATTAACCGCTGCGCCACCAGGGACGTCCTTAGATGGGATTTAACAAAATCTTATTTACGAAAATAGCAAACATATGCAAAAGCAGAGGAGTAATACGGTGTACTCCTCATCACCCAGATTCAGTAAATACCAACATTTCGCCTCTCATTTAATCTATTTCTGTCACTTTTAAAAACAGTTTTATTGAGGGATAATTGACTTAAAGTAAACTGCACATATTTAAAGTGTATAATTTGATATATTTTGACATATGTACACACCCCTGAAACCATCATCACCATAATCAAGGTAAATAAACATATCCACCACTCCCAAGAGTTTCCTTGTGTCCCTTTGTAATCCCTCCTTCTTACCTTTTCCTGCTTCCCTGCCCTCTCCCACACAAGGCAACCACTGATCTGTCACTATAGACGAGTTTACATTTTCTAGACTTTTATATAAATGGAGTCATACAGTATGTACTCTTTTTGTCAGGCTTCTTTCACTCAGCATAATTATTTTGAGATTCATCCACATTGTTGAATGTGTCTGTAGTGGATTTTTGTTTGTTTTTGCTTTTTTGAGTGTGTAGTATTCTATTGTATGAGTGTACCACTTTTAAAAAAAAATTCATTCACTTGTTGATGGACATTCGAATTTTTCCCAATTTTTGGCTAGTATAAATAAAGCTGCTATGAACAGTTATATACAAGTTTTTACATGGATATATGCCTTCATTTCATTTGGGTATATATTTAGAAGTGGGATGACTTGATCATATGGTAGGTGTATGTTAAGAAACTGCCAAACTGTTTTCCAAAGTAGCTCTAGTGTTTAACATTCCCATCAGCAGTGTATGAGAGTTCCAGTTCCTCTTCTTCCTTGTCTACACTTGGTATGGTTGGTCTTTTTAATTTTAGCCATGTAAGAGGTGTGTAGTGGTGTCTTACTGTTGTTTTAATTTATATGACTAATGATATTGAGCCCTTTTATCATCCATCTATCTCCTTTGATAGCCTCTGTTCAAATCTTTTGCCAATTTAAAAAAACTGAGCTGTTTTTCTTTTTTTTTTAAACAAATTTAGGAATTCAGGATTTTCTTTTTTTTTTTTAATTTTTATTTATTTATTTATTTATTTTAGGCTGTGTTGCATCTTCATTGCTGCGTGTGGGCTTTTCTCTAGTTGCAGTGTGCGGGCTTCTCATTGCGGTGGCTTCTCTTGTGGAGCACGGGCTCTAGGCACGTGGGCTTTAGTAGTTGCGGCACGCAGGCTCAGTAGTTGTGGCGCACGGGCTTAGTTGCTCCACGGCATGTGGAATCTTCCTGGACCAGGGCTCGAACCCATGTCCCGTGCATTGGCAGGCCAACTCTTAACCACTGCGCCACCAGGGAAGCCCTGAGCTGTTTTCTTATTATTGTATGTTGAGAGTTCTTTATGTATGCTGGATACAAGTTCTGTATATGATTTGTAAGCATTTTCTCCTGTCTGTGGCTTGTCTTTTTATATTATGGACAGTGTCTTCCTTAAGAGCAGAAGTTTTTAGTTTTGGTGATGTTCATTTTATCAATTTTTTATTTTATGAATTGTGCTTATGGTGTCGTATCTAAGAATTCTTTGCCTAATCCAAGATCACAAGCTTTTCTCCTATGTTTTCTTCTAGAGGATTTACAGTTTTAGTGTTTACATTTAGGCCTACAATCCATTTTGAGTTTATAATTTTTGATGTGAGATATGGATTGAGCTTCATTTTCTTAGCATATGGATGTCTAGTAATTCCAGCACCATTTGTTGAAAAGACTGTTTTCTCATTGAATTACCTTTACATCTTTGTTGAAATCAGCTGCCCATTCACGTTTTAAAAAATGGAATAATTTAAAGCAAATGCCAAGCATAGTTTCATTTTATCCCTATATATACTTCATTATGTGTCTCTGACTGATAAAGACTGGTTTTTAGAAACATAACATTCCATTATTATACCTCACAAAATGAACAGTTCCCTTACAATTATCTGATATTTAATCCGTATTTAAATTTCCCAGGTTGTTTCAAATCAGTCTCCAAAGTTGACTAATAAAGGGTTTTTCTCTATCATTATTGTCTCACATTTGTATATATTTCATGTGTTTCAATCCATGGATGTCATTATTGTTTTTGATGCCCCAAAATGCTTCAGGTTGGTGCCTGTCTCTTTTTTTTTTTTTTTTTCCTTGCGTTATGCGGGCCTCTCACTGTTGTGGCCTCTCCCATTTGCGGAGCACAGGCTCCGGACGCGCAGGCTCAGCGGCCATGGCTCACGGGCCCAGCCGCTCCGCGGCATGTGGGATCTTCCCGAAACGGGGCACGAACCCGCGTCTCCTGCATCGGCAGGCGGACTCTCAAGCACTGCGCCACCAGGGAAGCCCTCTCTTTTGACACGATACTTGAATGTTTTGAATAAATGGGATTTGAACCTTGTTTTGTTTTTTTGTTTTTTTTTAACTTCAGTGCCCATGTTCTTCCCAGGATTATTGTTGTGCTTTCTTGAAGGAAGCCCTTAAGGAATAGATGAGACTTAAATGGCCCAGTTGAAGGGTGCATTTGTTGGAATAGTGGTTTGGTATGGGCAGTGTCAACATATCTGTGAACATAGGTCTAGCAGCAGGAGACAAAAAGCACTTGTGGCACAAGAGCCTGGATTGTGGAGTAATCAGAGAAGCAAAGGAAAACAGGCCAGAGTCATAGCATAAAGGGCCTTGCCAGCTGGTTTGGGGGATTTGGTCTTTTTAATACTTTGGTGGTGGGTCATGGGACTAAGTTCATGACATTTTGTTTCTCTCATGAGCTTGATAGAAAATTATTTTTGAAGGAAGGCCCTCTTGATTGCCATTTTTCATGGAGTTTGCCAAGAAAAATTTGGTTGAAGAAGCTGATATCAATTCTCTAAGTAAAGTCTGGAGAGAATCCCCTGTTGAGTGGTTGTTAACTGGATTTCTCAGGAGCCTGTACTCCTTAAACCTTTCATCTTTCACATAATAAGTCATATACTTATTATGTTGAATTTGAATCAGTATGGTATATGTACATAATTTATGTAGTGATAACCAAAAGTATTTTTAAGTTATGGTGGCTTACTCTTGCTTAACTTAATTGACCTCCTGTTACATTGTTGGCTATATTGAAATCCAAGGACTAATTATGGATTGGTGAGCTTTATCATGTTTTAGTATAAAATTTGGCTAATTAATTCACTAAGTTTTACTTATTGATTTCTAGAGCCCCATGGTTATGAGTGTGCTTCCGCTTCATAATGCCTCCTGCTATGGCAGACATCCTTGACATCTGGGCAGTGGATTCACAGATAGCATCTGATGGCTCCATACCTGTGGATTTCCTTTTGCCCACTGGGATTTATATCCAGTTGGAGGTACCTCGGGAAGCTACCATTTCATATATTAAACAGGTATGTTATCAGGCTGAATTTCTATAAACATAGCTTACTTACTATATCACTTAGGGGAAAATGTTCCTCCATTTTAGAATGTTATTAATGTAAATCATATGGTAAATTTGAGAGAAGTTTATATGTCATTATATTTTAAAGATTTTGATCCATACTGTGTCTTGGATCTTGTTTATTGGCTATATAAAACATTCTCATTCTCACTCCCACTCACTTTTAATTTAAAAAAAAATCCACGTGTGATACCTGAATGAAGACAAATTAGCTTATGTTAGCTAGTTTGAAAGGCTTGTTCAGGTTATCAAAAGGAATTTGACATTGTTCTAGGATGTTTTATTTTGAGGTAAGATCTTTGTATGAATTGTCTTTGAGCTTATCACCTTTTTTTTTCTCAAGTGATTTTTCGTTGGTTGTCTCTTCTCTCCTTTTCCTTCCCTTTCTAATCCCCATTTTCTGTCCCCATCCCCACTATTTTTCATGGTCACTCTGGGGGAAAAAAAGGTTTTCTGCTGTTCAGTAGATTTTTTTCCCCCAGTAACGAATGCTATGTCCTCATTTGAAAGCAAATTCTTTCACATAACAAGGCTTGCATGTTTTGTTGGATGATTTTTTTCAAGCGAATTGGTGAGTACTATTGATTTGTGAAGATTATGACTTGTAAGTAAAATTATTTTCCTAAACTTTCTCTTTAATGTTTTTCAAATAGCTGAACCCAATATGGAAATTGGGGTTTATGACATATTTAAGAAAAAGTATTTATGACAGACCTTTTTAAAGCACTTGACTTTGGACAACCTTTTAACTCTTTTCCAAGCTTCTTCATCAGGGAGACATAAGAATTCTAGAACTGCATAATCCCTTAAGTGAAAAGGGATCACTTTTTAATTGTTTTGGGCACCCTACAGGGGCAGATAGTACACTTATTTTTATAGTCAGAAGTGACAGGTATGGATGCCTGTGGCTATAGCTGAAGCTGAATTAACCATTGAAACCTTGCTCCTTTAAAAAAAACTTACTGTTGTAAAATATGTATAACATAAAACTTTACCGTAGGAGTCATTTTTAGGCACACAGTTTCTTGGTATTAAATATATTCACAGTGTTGCCCAATCCATCACCACTGTCCATTTCTAGCACTTTTCATCATCCTAAACACAGACTCTGTACTTAGTAAATAATAAACTTCCCCTCTCCTAGTCCCTGGTAATCTCTATTCTAGTTTCTGTCTATATGAATTTGTATATTCGAGCTACCTCATGTAAGTGGAATCACACAGTAGTCGACCTTTTGTGTCTGGTTTTCTTAATTAGCATAATATTTTAAAAGTTCATTCATGTTGTTACAGGTATCTAAATTTCATTCCTTTTTAAGACTGAATATTATTTCATTGTATGGATATACCACATTTTGTTCATTCATCTTTTGATGGACATTTTGGTTATAACCATCTTTTGTCTTTTGTGAATAATCCTGCTCTGAACATTGGTGCACAAGTATCTGTATGAATCCCTGCTCTCCATATGTTGGATCATATGGTAATTCTGTTTTAACTTTTTAAGAAACTGCTAAACTTTTTTTTTTTTTTACAATGACTGTACCATTTTACTTTCCCACCAGCAATGCAAAAGGGTTCCAGTTTCTCAAAATGCTAGCCAACACTTGTTTTCCTTTTTTGTTTTTTTAAAAAGTAATAACCATTCTTATGGCTGTGAAGTGGTACCTCATTTTAGTTTTTAATTTTTTTTTGCGGTACGTGGGCCTCTCACTGTTGTGGCCTCTCCCGTTGCGGAGCACAGGCTCCGGACGCGCAGGCTCAGCAGCCATGGCTCACGGGCCCAGCCGCTCTGTGGCATGTGGGATCTTCCCGGACCGGGGCACAAACCCATGTCCCCTGCATTGGCAGGCGGACTCTCAACCACTGCGCCACCAGGGAAGCCCTCTCATTTTAGTTTTTATTTGCATTTCCCTAATGGCTAATGATTTCAGGCTTCTTTTCATGTTCTTATGGACCATTTGTAGAATTGTCTGTTCAAGACCATTGCCTATTTTTTAATTCAATTGTTTTTTGTTGTTGAGTCATGGGAGTTCTTTAATGTATTCTGGATGGTAATCTCTTATCAAACATATAATTTGAAAATAATTTCTCCTATTCTGTGAGTTGCCTTTTCACTCTCATAATAGTGTGCTTTGATACAGAAAAGTTTCTAATTTTGATGAAGTCCAATTTACCTATTTTGTGTTATTTTTTTTTTTGCCTAGCATCAGTTTCTCTTGTTTGTTTCATATAACTGAATCTGAGGATTGGCCACGATTTTTATCCCTCAGCTGTTGACTTCTGTCCTGGTTGCAGTTAAAATATGTAATCCACCTTGTGTTTGTGTGATGACCTTTTATATGATCTCATCCAGGAGACTTCAGGGGAGATCATGAGAAATTGATTCTGCTCATCCTAACAGGACAGTGCTAGTTAATGGAGATAACTCTGGTGAATAGAAAAGAATTCAGGACAAAAATAATGTAAATTTTGTATGGAGGTGATAGATGATACATACTTTAAATGTTCTTTTTTTTAATTAGAAATTATTTATGTTCACAAGAATGCTAAATATGGAAGTCTTCAGTGATTCTTATTCTTCATAGATTTTCACGTTTAATACTTTTGTTTATATAAATGCATTTTTTTTGCATTATACCATTATATTACTTTACAAAAATGGGTTAAATACCATTCATATTCTCTTACAATTTGCTATTTTTAAAAGGAACCAACCTTAATATATCTCGTATAGCTTTCCATGTTACCGTGTTTTTCTGTTTTATTTTCACAGTTCTGTAATATTCTGTAATTCACTTAACTGATCTCTTATTGCTAAGCATTTTGCTTGTCCTCAGTTTTTGAGTTTTCCAAAGAGTGCTGCAGTGAACATCCTTGTAGATATATCTTTGTGCACTTGAGCAAGTATTCCCATTTCAGAAAATGTCTTATTACTTTTTCCTGCAGATGTTATGGAAACAAGTTCATAATTACCCAATGTTTAACCTCCTTATGGAAATTGACTCCTATATGTTTGCATGTGTGAATCAAACTGCTGTATATGAGGAGCTTGAAGATGAAACAAGAAGACTCTGTGATGTCAGACCTTTTCTTCCAGTTCTCAAATTAGTGACAAGAAGTTGTGACCCAGGGGAAAAATTAGACTCAAAAATTGGAGTCCTTATAGGAAGAGGTAATTTAAAAAATTCTTATTTTGAATTTTCAACATGTTTGTTGCTATCTGTATAAACATGTAGTAAGTATGATCTGAGACGTTGCTTTGCAAGGTGTGGTCCATGGACCAGTGCTGGTCTGTACATTGTTACCAGTCTGAGATAAAGTAAGTATAGAAATTGAGAATAAACTTCTCTAGCGATGTGATATTGCCACAACATCCAAGGGTGTGTGTATTTTTTATCTTTTTCTTTTCCAGTGACTTATTTTTTTTTAATTTATTGAAGTATAGTTGATTTACAGTTTTGTGTTAATTTCTGCTGTATAAACAAGTGATTCAATTATGCATAAATGTACATTCTTTTCCATATTCTTTTCCATTATGGTTTATCACAGCATATTGTGTGTATTTCCCGGCGCTATACAGTAGGACTTGTTGTTTATCCATTCTATATATAATAGTTTGTATCTGCTAATCCCAAACTCCCAATCCATCCATCCCCCTCACCTACCCCTTGAAAAACCACAAGTCTGTTCTGTATGGCTGTGAGTCTGTTTCTGTTTTGTAGATAAGTTTTTTTGTGTCATATTTTAGATTCCACATATAAGTGATATCATACAGTGTTTGTCTTTCTCTTTCTGACTTACTTCACTTATTATGATAATCTCTTGGTCCATCCATGTTGCTGCAAATGGCATTATTACATTATTTTTTATGGCTGAGTAGTATTCCATTGTATATATATACCACATTTTCTTTATCCATTCAACTGTCGACGGACATCTAGGCTGTTTCCATGTCTTGGCTATTGTGAATAGTGCAGCTATGAACATAAGGGTGCATGTATCTTTTTGAATTATAGTTTTGTGTGGATATATGCCCAGGAGTGGGATTGCTGTATCAAGTGGCAACTCTATATTTAGTGTTCTGAGGAACCTCCATATAGTGTTTTTCATGGTGGCTGAACCAAGTTACATTCCCACCAACAGTGTAGGAGGGTTCTCTTTTCTCCACAACCTCTCCAGCATTTGTTATTTGTAGACTTTTTAATGATGGCTATTCTGACCAGTGTGAGGTGATATTTCATTGTAGTTTTGATTGGCATTTCTTTAATAGTTAGTGATGTTGAGCATCTTTTCATGTGCTCGTTGGCAATCTATATGTCTAGTGAATGATTTTTATTTTATAAAAGTATTGGGTTTTTGCAAATTTGAAATAAAAAAGTTGTTCCTTTGCCTCAGGTACTTTGAGAAGCCCATTTTTAGAGATGCATCCTAAGTTTCTTGTGAACTACCCGTAATTTATGCACAACTGTATGCTAACCGAGACTTTAAGCTGATTGATGTTTCCATAAATTTTACTCCATAAGTAAAATTATCTTTTAAGTAGAAGTTACTTTTATAGCAAGTCAAGATATATCATGCCCACATTATTCTTTGCATATTAATTTCAGGGAGAATTGTGAGTAACACAATAAACACGGAGCAGTCTCTCTTGCTGTAGTAATCTTAGATGTCTAAAGGGCCAATGGTATCCTGCCTTAGACAGGGTATTAACTTGAATTTGCTTACTGCAAGGGATTACTGAGGAGGAGGCTTAAAATACAAAACCAAAAATATCTGAAGAGTGTTGGATTTGGATTGGCTACCTGTATTGATCACATTCACTCTTACAGGATAATATAGTACCATCCCCTTTAAGATAGTAAGTACCTTTAAGATACTATTCTTTGATTTGACCTATAGTTAATTCAGGCTAGCTAATGATTACACAGTGGGACTAAACTCTTCCCTTTGAGTACTTAGAACAGAAGCTTGTTTATTTACTGAATGACACCCTAGTATTTAAAAATGTTTGATCATTTCAGATCCTGGCTAGTTTGCTTTGGCAATGACTTCTTCCCCCATTAAATAGTCTTGTAATTGTATACCATACAGATTTTTCAAAAATATATTAATAGCTTCAATAGAAAGCATTTCGTTCTAGTTTTTAGAGTTCCAAAGATTTTTTTAAAACTTTTAGTTATTCTCCATTAGTAAAAATTTTTCCTTTGAATTAGAGTATATGTAAAAGTAGAAAGAATAAAAAAATCACTTATAGTTTTATCCAGGACAAGAATACCCACTGATAATATTTTATATAGTTCTTTTTAAGCAGTTTTGTGTGCGTGTTTGTGAAAATATTGTTTTTCTGTATTTTTCTGCTGATATTTAGGGAAGCTGAAATATTTGACAATTCAAAAGGTTAGCATCACAGAGAGAGTTAACTTTTATGAGAATATAGGTGTCTTTTTGAGATTTACCATCTTTTCAAAACTTAGATCACTGTGCTTTCTTTGGGTCTTGATCTCCAAAGCATATGGAATCATTAGCCACCATTATCTGTACCTAAGCTTGTCAGATTTACCAAATAAAAATACAGTAGATCCATGGGATACTCTTAATGCCAAAAAGTCATTCACTATTTATCTAAAATTCAAATAGAACTGGACATACTGTGTTTTTTTTTGTTTTTTTGTTTTTAAATTTGACAACTCTAACTTCACCCTGCTAACAGCACAGAGATCTAATATATATTAGAATTGAATTTCTCTTTCTATAAACAATGTACCATATTTCATATTTCATTTAGTGTATAAAGCTTATTGTACAAAAATTTTTTTATGCAATGTGCCCTGCAATTTGAATGACTAAGAAAATGCCACGAGTGTTTTATTGCATTGAATTAAACAGCTTATAAGCTCTTAAAATTTATAAATTGTACTTTAGACCCTCAGCAGTTTAGGAAAGCTGGCCTTATGATCATATACACAAATTCAAATGTTAACAGTCATTTAGGAAGTTGAGTAAGTCTGTTCTGATGTTTTAGAATGAAATTTTACTTTAAATACCTAACAAGTCATTTTTTGCAGTTGCTGATTTGTATGTGATGACTACAACCGGGACTTTGTGAGGTCATGCCTCCTGGGAAAACAATGAACAATTATTTCAATTTAACTTCAGGAACAAGTTTGCTGCCTCCTCCTCCCCAGCGAAAACAATAGAACCTTTACAGACATAACTGCCCTGACTGATCTAAAAATACCTTTTCCTGAAAGATGATATGCCTAATTATTTCATTTTCTGTTTATTCTCAATAATTATTTATAGAGCTACTGCTGGGGTTCTGATTATTCTCTGTAGAGAAGGTACTTGTTACTCCTGCATTAATTTCTCCAAATACCCAGTAGTAAATCTTGATCAGAGGATTTTGTCAGCATCCTGAAAAAAGTATTTGAACACTTCCTTTTTCTCCTCACCTATCTAAAGCTGTGGCATACCTTAAAGTGAAGGAAATACATAGTGTGTAGGATTTTAACAGTATCTTTAATATGAAGAAATTGTTCATTCAGTACTTTTTTAATATCAAAAATTTATATTTGACTGTAAACTATACAGTTCTCTTATCTTAAAATTTAAGCTTTGCTAACAAATTTTCATACCACAAGACATATAGGCAATTAACTAGGCTTAAAATTAAATTCCTTAGCCTTTTTATTTTTGGCAAAGTTTCTATTTTTAAGAGATCTTTATAGTAGTTCCTCATTTCAGGCTTCATCCATTTCTTCCTTTTTCTTCCTTTTTTCTTTTTCCTTCCTTCCTTCCTTCCTTCCTTCCTTCCTTCCTTCCTTCCTTCCTTTTTTTGTTTTAATTTTTATTGGAGTATAGTTGATTTACAATGTTGTATTAGTTTCAGGTGTACAGCAAAGTGAATCAGTTATACATACACATATATCCACTCCTTTTTTTTCTTTTAGATTCTTTTCCCATATAGGCCATTTCTGAGTATTGAGTAGAGTTCCCTGTGCTATACAGCAGGTTCTTATTAGTTATCTATTTTATGTATAGTAGTGTGTATATGTCAATCCTAATCTCCCAATTTATCCCTCCCCCCGCCGTATCCCCTGATAACTATTTGTTTTCTACATCCATGACTCTACTTCTGTTTTGTAAATAAGTTCATTTGTACCCCTCCTTTTTTTTAAGATTCCACATATAAACAGTATCATATGATATTTATCTTTCTGTGTCTGACTTACTTCAGTCAGTATGACAATCTCTAGGTCCATCCATGTTGCTGCAAATGGCGTTATTTCGTTCTTTTTTATGGCTGAGTAATATTTCAATGTACATATGTTCCACATCTTCTTTATCCATCCCTCTGTCGATGGATGTTTAGGTTGCTTCCGTGTCTTGGCTATTGTAAATAGTGCTACAATGAACATTGGGGTGCATGTATCTTTTCAAATTATGGTTTTCTCTGGATATATGCCCAGGAGTGGGATTGCTGGGTCATATGGTAGTTCTATTTTTAGTTTTTTAAGGAGCCTCCATACTGTTCTCCATAGTGGCTGTACCAGTTTACATTCCCACCAACAGTGTGGACCGTTCCCTTTTCTCCACACCCTCTCCAGCACTTGTTGTTTGTAGATTTTTTGATGGTGGCCATTCTGACTGGTGTGAGGTGATAATGTCATTGTAGTTTTGATTGCATATCTCTAATAATTAGTGATGTTGAGCATCTTTTCATGTACTTTTTGGCCATCTGTATGTCTTCTTTGGAGAAATGTCTGTTTAGGTCTTCTCATTTTTTGATTGGGTTGTTTGTTTTTTTGTTATTGAGCTGCATGAGCCATTTGTATATTTTGGACATTAATCACTGGTTGGTTGCTTTGTTTGCAAATATTTTCTCATTCTGAGGGTTATCTTTTTCTTTTGTTTATGGTTTCCTTCTGTGCAAAAGCTTTTAAGTTTAATTAGATCCCATTTGTTTATTTTTGTTTTTAATTGTCATTACTTTAGGAGGTGGATCAGAAAAGATCTTGCTGTGATTTATGTCATAGAGTGTTCTGCCTCTGTTTTCCTCTAAGAGTTTTATAGTATCTGCCCTTACGTTTAGATCTTTAATCCATTTTGAGTTTATTTTTGTGGTGTTAGGGAGTTTTCCTCTAAGAGTTTTATAGTATCTGCCCTTACGTTTAGATCTTTAATCCATTTTGAGTTTATTTTTGTGTATGGTGTTAGGGAGTGTTCTAATTTCATTCCCTTACATGAAACTGTCCAGTTTTCCCAGGACCACTTATTGAAGAGACTGTCTTTTCTCCATTGTATATTCTTGCCTCCTTTGTTTTGTTGTTGTTGTTGTTTAAAATATTTATTTATTTATTTATTTAATTTTTTTTCTTTTTTTTTTTTGGTGGTGTGTGGGCCTCTCACTGTTGTGGCCTCTCCCGTTGCGGAGCACAGGCTCTGGGGGCACAGGCTCAGCAGCCGTGGCTCACGGGCCCAGCCGCTCTGTGGCATGTGGGATCTTCCCAGACCGGGGCACGAACCTGTGTCCCCTGCATTGGCAGGTGGACTCTCAACCACTGCGCCACCAGGGAAGCCCTAAAATATTTATTTATTTTGGCTGTGCTGTGTCTTAGTTGTGGCACACAAGATATTTGTTGTGGCATGTAGGATCTTTAGTTGCGGCATGCGGGCTTCTTAGTTGCAGCATGCAGAGTGTTAGCTGTGGCATGCATGCAGGAACTAGTTCCCCGACCAGGAATCACATCCTGGGCTCCCTGCATTAGGAGCGTGGAGTCTTACCCACTGGACCACTAGGGAAGTCCACTTGCCTCCTTTGTTATAGATTAGGTAACCATTCATCAGTTTCTTAAAAAGCAGATTGTCAGAGATTGGGATTTAGTGAGTCTGGGATGTATGAAATAAATCTGTACTTTTCAGTTGACTCTCATAGTTATGTGAAAATAGTCCCTTATTTATATTATATTGAGAAAAATTACCAAAACAATAGCAATTGCAATTCAACAGTTTATATTGAGTGTTTATACTTGAGAACCACAGCACTGAACTTGGGTAATGTGGTCTTTGTCTGCTTGGAGCTCACAGTCCAGTGGGAAATAATGGATCAGTAAACAGACAGTTACAATACAATGTATAAGCTGTTATAAGTCAAGGAGGGTCACTTAAATCAACTGGGTGAGTCAGGGCCTTCTTCCTCTTTGCAGACAAACAGCTAAACTGTGACTTAAGCGCTCATTAGCAGTTGAGTAGGTGAAAGGAGATGGAAGAAGGAAAACCAAGTGGGAATGGCATATAGGAAGGATGGCCTATTCAAGGAATAAAAGAAGTTGACTATGATTTGCTTAAGGGGACAGCTAGGATAAGCAGGAAGTCTAGAGAGGCAACCGGCTTCAGAGCATGCAGAGCTATCCAGGCCATGTAAAAAGTAGAGATTTAATTCATAAGAGCAATTGGGAAGCTATTGAAGGGATTTAAGTTAGGTGAGTAACATCATCAGATTTTCATTTTAGAAAAATTATTTAGGTTGGGGAATGGAAATGGATTGGAGGGATTAAGATTGTGAGTAGAGAAATTAATGAAAAACTGATGTAGTAATTAATCCATGGGAGAGATGATTGGTAGCTAGGATTAATGTAATGGCTATAGGACCTAAGAGAACTAGATGGAGTTGAGAGACATTTAGAAAGTGGATTAGACATGACTTTTAGTAGATAAAGGGAGATAAAGAGTTTGATTTTTGTTAGATGTATCTATTATTAGGTATTCATTTCCATGTCCTTATCTGTAGTACTGATGATCTGTGAATAGAAATAGTTTGAACAGTGCAAAGGAAGAAGCTCTAAGATACTTAAGGTAGTTCGCTTAAATTACAGTTCATTCACATAGCTGATTTAGAGTAATATATTTTATTCCAGATCTAAAACTATCCAAGAAATCATATTTTACCTTCAAGATTTTACCTTTGTTGTATTATGGAACTTAAACATTTTAATTTTTCTATATTTAATACCTCAGATCAATGCTAATATTTATTTTAGAAATAATGACTGTTTTAATAGACGTAAATATACAATGCAGGTAAGTCTACTATCAAGATAACACCCATTGACGTGCATATATTCAAATGATATAGTATTGATTTGGCCCTACAGAATGAAAAGTAACAGCTTGCCGCACTGTGCTTCCCTCTCCAACACTATGAAATGCTGTTAATATTATCTCAATTTTCAAGGCAAAAATTTATATGCATTCTATATTCTTTCTTTTGAATTTGCATAAAAGGAATCTTGCGAGACCCACTGTGTCCCTGCTTTATATATTTAATATATCTGGGACTTTTATCCTAACAACACAGATCTACTTCATTCATTTTAGCACTTGTACCACTCTATCATGGTATATGGATGTATCTTAATTTTTTTAACCAGGTCTTAATGATTATCTTTAGGTTATTTCCAGTTTTTTATTTATTATAAACAAAGCTACAGTGAACATGCTTGTACTGATATCATGTTATCTGTACAATTATTTCCATAGATTTGTGGAAATAAACAATCATGCAAATGAGAACAGACTTTTTACTCAGAGCTTGCTATAATAAAGTAATTTTGTGTTTGGCAGTGATTCAAAGTCAGGCAGGGGAGTGATAAAGTTTCATGGTAGAGAAAGTGGATGGCTTTCATGTATGCCTGATGGAAGTTGCTGGCAGGAGGAAGCGCAAGGTGGGCTCACGAGAAGCTGGGCATCTTACGTGGTTGGTTTGGGGAACATATTTGACTTTCACTGGTTGGTCCTGAGTCTCTCAGGTTGCACTTCCTCGTGGTGGAATACCAGGGTCAAAACTGTGTGTGTGTGTGTGTGTGTGTGTGTGTGTGTGTGAGTGTGAGTTCTAATAAATATTAAATATGCCTATTTCTCTTCTGTCCCTTCCAGCTTAAGGTTTTGTCCAACTTTAAAATGTTTGCCAATCTGATAGGTAAAAATTAATGCACATATAAAAATTGATACATGTTCTTCTATTATTTTAGATATCTAGAATTATTTATTAGAATAATTATAAGCTTATGAACAGGCTGTTATATAGTTATCTTCATGGCAGAAGTGGTTCATAATTCAGTACAACAAAAAATAGTTTTATGTTTATGAGATTTTTGACTGATATGCTATAACCATTGTTGAAAAATCACAGTAAACTGAAAGTTTATAAAATTGAAGTTTGCTGAGTTTTAAGTAATAACTTGAGTTTTAGGCTTATTTGTAAAGTTTTCAGATTCTTAGCCTTTCTTAAATATTTTAAATGTGATTTACTTGATTTGTAAAGAAAAACTGGCTTTTTCATATGTGGTTTTAAAATAGTACTGTGAATTTCAGTGATTATCTTTTTAAAATTGGTAACCAACTATATTTCTTTAAGAGGTTTCAAGTTTGTATTCTTTAGAAATCTAATTGTATGTTCATCTTCTATACATGAAGTTCGTTATTTTATGTTGAATTTTTTTTATCTTTCATAATATTCTCTTTATCTTTCATAATATTTTCCTGTTCAGTTTTGTTGGCTTCCTGAAAACCAAGCATCCAAATTATCTTTTTTTGAGTATATTTTGTATTCTCTTAGCTACTCAAAATGACACGTTTAAAATTTTTTTTAGGTTTGCATGAATTTGATGCCTTGAAGGATCCTGAGGTGAATGAATTCCGAATAAAAATGCGCAGATTCAGTGAGGAAAAGATTCAGTCGCTTGTGGGATTGTCTTGGATGGATTGGCTAAAGCAAACCTATCCACCAGAGCATGAACCATCCATTCCTGAAAATTTAGAAGATAAACTTTACGGAGGAAAGCTCATTGTGGCTGTTCATTTTGAAAATTGTCAGGTAGTATTATATTATTTTAAGAAATACTTTATAATAAATTTGTGAATTTTACCAGAATGCAGCACCAATGTTAGAGGAGGCTGTTGCTCACCTAGTAAAGACTGACATAGATCATTTTTAGATTTAAGATGGAAATATATTTTGGATTATGTGACAACCTGAAGTGACACATCCTTTGTACATATATGGTTTTTTGATGCATTTTTGTCTATATCGGGGTCTGCAAACTGCAGTGGTTTTGAATGGTTTTTATATTTTTTGTGGGATGTAAAAAACTCAAAGAATTTTGAAGGATGTTAAAAAGAATAGAAAGAAGAATATGCGACAGATACTCATATGCTGTTAGCAAAGCCTAGTTCTTTAGAGAAAACGTTTGCCAACCCCTGGTATAGATAATGTTGTTTAATGTAGATATAATTTTATTTTCTCATGTGATTTTTCTCTTGTCTATAAAATGAAAGGTTTGATCAAAGAGCTCTGTTTTTCCATTTTCTTACATTTGCATTCTGTGAATATGTGAACTAAGTGCCGGTTCTGAATTGGGCATTATAATAGAGTGTATGTACAGTTAATCTGTATCTGAATGTTCATAGCAATTTTACAAACTAGATTATGCTACTGCCTTTGTATGAAGTGTGCTCATTTTATCATCTAGTCTCTGGCCTTGGAATTAGGGTAGGAGTACAAGGATATTTTGTTTTGTTCTTCAGTTACTGTGATAACAATAACAAAACCTTTATCAGTAGCCATTCTATGTTGAGCACTTTACTATGCCAGGAATTATGAAAGGTATTTTTGAAATATATTCTCTACTTCTCACAACAACCCAATAAAGTGTTGTTATTTTAACCCGATTTTATAGTGAAGAAACTGAAAGGGAGAGAAGTTTTTCTTTTGTGCCCTGCTTCATAGCTGGTCAGTGGTAGAGCCAGGATTTTTTCCAGGTGTTTCTCATTTTATCAAGTCGGCCTTCCTTCCAAAAACATGTTATTAAGTATTTGTTAGGTCAGATGTAAAAAAAGGATCCTACATTCAGGCATTTTGCAAAGGAAGTTTGTCTAGAGAAAAAAAAAAGAAAACAACTTGCCACTCTATACTGAGATATATTGAGACTCAAGTTCAATTTAAGCCAAGAATTGGATATCATAAAGTGTAAAGGTCAAATTTAAAATACTGTTTAAGGAATTGTGCATTGTTGAAAAAGTTGAAATAGGGAATTTTACTGTTAAAAGGTGATTAGAATTCAACTTGAAAATACCTGCTCCGGGCAGTTTGTCCATCTAGGTCAGTTTGAATTTCATCACATCTGGGTCAAACCTCTACTGGACATACAAATTTTAATGTGATCATCATTGTAACAAAGTATATGTGAAAAGAAGTGTTTTGAAGTTAGAAGAGAAATATAGATGTAAAATCTTATTGGATTCAAGCATAGAACTTAACAGTGAAAGGAGTTTAGACATCATCTAGGCAGACTCTTTATGTAACATAATAATTCTTTTCACCATCCTTTATATCCTGTGTGTCTAACCAAATACATCCAGTTGCTATGGGAGCCCTCTGCCTACTGAAGTAGCACGTTTTCACTGTGAGCAAGCACACATTTAAATTTTGAATTTAAAAACTTAAATTCAAACTAGCTTTCTGTGACTTCTGCTCATCTGGTTATACTTTCTTATTTAATATGTATCCATTCAATCTCCCTTTATTCTACATGCCAGATATTCAGATAATTGAAATATAGCTATCATATGTCTCCTTAGTCTCCTTTTCTTTTGGCTAAATACTTCCCAGGGATTAAACCAAAAATTCTTGGAGTTTTTGATCATACAGAATAGTAAATTTTTAAGTTATGAAATAATTTTAGGAAGTCACATAGAGTTTATAGATTTTTTTACAAGATAAATTTATTTATTTTATTTATTTATTTTTGGCTGTGTTGGGTCTTTGTTGCTGGGTGCGGGCTTTCTCTAGTTGCGGCGAGTGGGGGCTACTGTCCATTGTGGTGCACGGGTTTCTCATTGCGGTGGCTTCTCTTGTGGAGCATGGGCTCTAGGCGCGCGGGCTTCAGTAGTTGTGGCACGTGGGCTCAGTAGTTGTGGCTCACGGGCTCTAGAGCTCAGGCTCGGTAGTTGTGGCGCACGGGCTTAGTTGCTCCACGGCATGTGGGATCTTCCCGGACCAGGGCTCGAACCCGTGTCCCCTGCATTGGCAGGCGGATTCTTAACCACTGCGCCACCAAGGAAGCCCGAGTTTATAGATTTTTATTTAGGCTATTATTGCTTTAAAAAAAAACCAAACCCCATACTGTAATTTATTGCCAGCACTATTTCATAAGTGAATAAACATTTTACCATCAAAAACTAGGAATGACAGAATCTCAGAATAAAGGATGTTTGGCAACCGACTCCATCATACATGCATCTCCCCACCCCCACCCCCCCTCAAATTCTTTAAATTCTCATTTGGCCATTTCACCATCACTGCTGATAACCAGCATTGGGGAGCAGCATGTGGGAACACTAAACTAAAAATGAGATGAACTGTAACAAGGTATTCATTTAGGTTAAAAAATGATTTTCCAGGATTGGTAGGGGGAGAGAAAATTTACTGGAAATTAAATGTAAAGGATGTACATGTGTAAACATTATGTATAGTTGTGTACACTGTAGTACTTAATAATAAGTACAAATGTAAAGAGTGATTTTTTTTTTCCAGTGTAAATACAAAATTGCTTCTTTTTTCTACCCCCCCTTTTTAGGATGTGTTTAGCTTTCAAGTATCTCCTAATATGAATCCTATCAAAATAAATGAATTGGCAATCCAAAAACGTTTGACTATTCATGGGAAAGAAGATGAAGTTAGCCCCTATGACTATGTGTTGCAAGTCAGTGGGAGAGTAGAATATGTGTTTGGTGATCACCCACTAATTCAGTTCCAGGTATGTGTTTTAACTATCAATTTACCATTTATTTACATTTAGTCATGAATTCTTTGTGTAGATGTTTTATGCAGGGAATTGATGTGCCTCAGGTTATTTTTGGAGTATAGTGGAGTTTAAATAAGATATGTGCATTGTGACACCCCTTCCCCCAGCATAAGGTATGCTATTTAAAGAAGCTTTGCCTTCAAGGAACTTAAGGATATTTTTGTTGAAATTACATTTGGAGACCAAAAAATGGTCATTACATAAAGAATACTGGGTTAAGTGCCAAGTTACAGGTAAATAGTAACAGAATTTTAGGAAAATATGTGATTACTCTTTCTTTAAAAATTTATTTTATTTATTTATTATTTTTGGCTGCATTGGGTCTTCCTTGCTGCGCTCAGGCTTTCTCTGGTTGCAGCAAGTGGGGGCTACTCTTTGTTGCGGTGTGCGGGCTTGTCATTGCCATGGCTTCTCTTGTTGTGGAGCACAGGCTCTAGGCACATGGGCTTCAGTAGTTGTGGCACGCAGGCTCAGTAGTTGTGGCTCGTGGGCTCTAGGCTCACGGACTTAAGTAGTTGTGGCGCATGGGCTTAGTTGCTCTGCGGCATGTGGGATCTTCCCTGACCAGGGCTTGAACCTGTGTCCCCTGCATTGGCAGGTGGATTCTTAACCAGTGTGCCACCATGGAAACCTGTGATTACTCTTATTTGTGGTTTTTGTTGTTTGTTTTAAGCAAGAGGGATACAGGCGTGCCAGTTATTAAATGATGTCTGTTTGAGAAGGAGCTCTGATTTATTACCAGGTAACAGGGGATTTTGTATCGTCCCCTTCTTTTTTTTTTTTTTTTTTTTTCTCTCCAGAGTTTTAGTGTAGCCCTTAATCCTTGGTTTAGTAGGTAGAAAGTCTAGCAGCAGTTATAACCTCTGTGCACAGCTTGGGATCTGTGACATTCTGACAGTAAGTGCTTGAACTCTAGCCCATGAGAGGAAGAAGGAAAATGAAAAGTGCTTGGTGGTAACATCTAAGTACTGACTTCTTCCCTTCATGTTCTGCCATCTTTTTTGCGGTACGCGGGCCTCTCACTGTTGTGGCCACTCCCGTTGCGGAGCACAGGCTCCGGACGCGCAGGCTCAGTGGCCATGGCTCACGGGCCCAGCCGCTCCGCGGCATGTGGGATCCTCCCAGACCGGGGCACGAACCCGCGTCCCCTGCATCGGCAGGCGGACTCTCAACCATTGCGCCACCAGGGAAGCCCTCTGCCATCTTTTAAGTAGCCTCCTGCTTCTTTAATTTAACACTTTTTTTTTAAACCTTAATAGGAGGAAAGTACATCGTTTTGCTCAAACTGGAATTTATTACAAAGAAAACTAAAGAAGTGTGTGTTTTTTGTACAAGGTCATGTGAGAAAGAAAATATACAATGAAGGTGAAGGAACCTGAAGGAAATGAGATGATACATCTTTCATAGTGAAAAGTTTCTGAATGAATTTATTTATCATAGTATCATGTTAACTCCCACTTATAGGCCATTCTGGAAATTTTTTTTTTTTCCAGAAGTGTATTTTCAGTGGTTCTGAATTGAATACAATATACTGAGTCACACTTTATATCTGTATAGGAAATTTATTATAGTGAGGAGTACATTGGATTTCTATTCATTATGTTAAGAATCTTTGGTAATGTGAATAACCACCCCTCTTCTTATATGCCTCTGGAAAATCCTCTGGTTTCATGGAAATGAAACAGAGCATCAAGCTCAAATGGCCAGTAAGTTTTTGATGTAAAGGCAGTAATGGATGCCTGGAGCTCTGTGCTGAAAAGGTACCAGGTCTGCCTCAGGGATCCATGGAAATGTGGCCACCTCAGGACTTATAAAAAATGGCCACGTGTGTACTACATATTCACCTTTCCTGACTTACTGGTCAGAGGTGGCAGTATGGCATCAGTCTATGACGATCAAGCCCTGCCCCTGGAAAGGTGTGCCAGTTGGTCATACTGTCAGGTATTAAGTGCAGAGAAGAGAAAATAAAACATCTGTACTGTGGCACATATTTCTCCAAAGTTCAGCAAACAGAAAAGAAGTCAGACAAGTGGATTTAAATCCAGGTGTTAAAGATACTAGCTGTGTAATTTAGCTTTCTGATTTTCAGTTCTTTAGTCTATTAAAAGAGGAAAATCTGTCTTTTAGAGTTATGAAGATTAGCTCTAACATATAAGAAGTATCTAGTTCAGTTCTCAGGTATGTAGATGTTCAATTAATTGTAGCAATTTTATGTTGTGATTTTTATTTCTCATATTCTTGACATTGAGTTGTTATTTAAGATACTCTTTCACAGTGCATTTGTTCTAGTGTTGTTCAGTTTAATTTTATTCTTCTGTTGATTTAAGTTTTGCTTGAAAATCCTTACCTTATACTTTCTTGCCACTGTAGTATATCCGGAACTGTGTAATGAATAGGACCTTGCCCCATTTTATACTTGTGGAATGTTGCAAGATCAAGAAGCTGTATGAACAGGAAATGATTGCCATAGAGGCTGCCATAAATCGAAATTCATCTAACCTTCCTCTTCCTTTACCACCAAAGAAAACTCGAATTATTTCTGTAAGTTTCATGTGTGACCCTTTGGTAACCCCAGAAGGCACGCGACTTTTTTGGTTAGGTTGTATGCTTAAGCCTCACACGTATATTCTTTACTCAGTTTTCCTTCTGTGGAAAATGCATATTTTCCACAGAATATTAATATGAATTAATATTAATATTCCACAGAATATTAATGCATATTTGCCGAAGATCCATCACCATTTATTAGTAATTATCTTTTTAGCTACCCTTCTTTTTCCTTACTCAGGCTACATATGATTGTAAACAGGCCATTTATGTTTTCGATTATCTTTTGGTGCTAAAGAAAAATGCCCTCAAATTTGAGATATTTTGAGATTAGAGCTAAATGGGACTCAAAGAGCAAGTTGAGCATTCTAGTAGAAAAGTTAGATGTGCAGAGACAGTTGATTTTCTGGTATATCTCATTTCTTTCAGTTTATCTATAATAGTGTTTTGGTATAATTTGTCTGTTTTCTTCTTTCTTTCTTATTGAATACTTTTAGACCTTAAATGTAACAAAGGCATCATTTTTTGCTAGAATGTAATATATTTGTATAAAGCAAATCTTAAGTTTGTATTCATTAGAACACCACAGTTTTAAAATAGTTCTTCAGTCTTAAGAAATTGAATGTTTAACCATTCCTTGATGATTAAGTTATTATCTTTATATTAATTTATTGGTCAATTTTTAATTTATGCAAAACTTTTAATACTATTTTTTAATGGTGTTTAGTGAATTTCTTAGCAATACTGGAATGCTGCCTGTTTTGCCTTGAGAACTAAGTGCTAGTGGTTGTGATGGTTAATTTAATATATGTGATTTTCAGTTGTTAGTTCAGAGGTGTATTTTCATTCTTTTACCAATGGAAATGAGAACTGATAGGCGATTTCATTGCTAGCATAGAATATTCATTTCTTTCATTAAAATACTGTTTATTTCATTTTTTTACAGCATGTTTGGGAAAATAACAGTCCTTTCCAAATTGTCTTGGTTAAGGGAAATAAACTTAACACAGAAGAAACTGTAAAAGTGAGTACTTGTTAAGATTTGAATTTATCTTCAGCTCCATTATTTGAATAAGTCACTGATATGCTCGGTGAAAGTCACATTGGAGACGAATTTTACCCATATTGGTTAACTACAGGAGATAGAGTATGGTATATAGGACAATTAAGAATTTTTGTTTTAAAATATTCTTTGAATAGTTTGAGATGTACTGGATAGATTGACATTTTCCCAGTGTATATTATGGAAAAGAAATTGGTTTAGATCAAGAATTCAGCAAGTGAAATTTAAGCCAAACCTGTAGGTCACATGTTTCTGTGCAGGCTTACTCTCCTTTCTCAGCTTTGCTTAGAGCTGCACAATAGCCTCTCTTACCCCCTCCCCCCCTTTTTTCCATTTAAACTTGCTGAAAACACAGAAAATGTAATATTTTTTCCTGAAATAAAATACATGACTCTGTTGTAGACCACAACTTGTTAACACATGAGGGTTTATTGCACCATCCCTACAGTTAGGACTTAACAAGGCATTTTGTCTGAAAGTGTAAAGCACACATTTTCCTCTATTTAGCTTGGCAGGAAATTAAATGAATAGTTTTGTGATCCAAGAAAGAGATTCAGTTAGTTTAAGATGTTTGCTGGCATGAGGATATATTCAGGAGCACCTTGCCAAAGATTACCAGTGGCTTGCTTTTATAAATGGACATTAAAATTCTTTGGGTAGCTGTCATTAAAATAAGGGATTTTTTTCACTTTTATTCTTAGCTATATTTTAATTCTTAATGAGTATGCTTATGGCCAGTTAGCCTTTGTTTTCTATTTTAGTGGTAATTTAATTTTTCCCTTTAAATTTTCTTCATTAATTTTTTCCAGTGGCAAAAGTATAACATGATGGTTGCAACAGGCAAAAAAAGTCCAAACATTATTTAAGAAAAAAGTTGCTGATCTCTCCTCCCCATCTCTTTACCATCATATGAGATTCAAGGTCAACAGGCCTTGAGTGACCTCCATGTTTATACAAATATATGTACACATATGGTTTATACAAATATATGTAAGCATATGGTTGTGTTTATTTTGTTGATTGGTCGGTTTCTTAAAAGGGATGATGTTATATATATTATTCTATAATTTGATTTCTTCACTTTATATCTTGGATGGTCCTCTGGATGATTAAATATTTAGTAGAATTCCTCGGGAATTATATTTCTTTTTTTTTAATGGTTTTTGTTTATTTTTGACTTTTTATTTTATTTTTTTCATGCACACAAACTGTATTTTATTTTTACAACAGATAAACTGACACCAAGCATTGTAAATGGATGACCACAAAAGCAACAATGATTGCAATTACCAAACACGAAACACACTTATACTATGTCATAATATTGACATTCAGTCCAGTAATCTCCACTGTAACAGCTCCTTTACTTTGCAGTGAAAATTGATTTGTATATTTTTTGCCTCTGAGTCCTTGTGGGATTTTTTTTTTTTATTCAAACAGAAAGTCACAAAAATTATAATCATCCTCATCAGTTCACTCAGTCCCGTGTAATTAATTTTTTTTCCATCTTGATCTTTTGTTAGCACTTTTATTAATTCATCAGTTTTCCATTAGAGTTCTGAAAATGGTTATTCATTCAGTTCAGCAGTATAGTCAGTTACCAGAAACCTGTACTTGTCAGAGTCTTTTCCATGAATTCATTAAAGATGAAACCCCTTTATAGGAACATTTTTGTAAAAGCATCAGACTGTACCCAGAACTGTCTGTAAACGACAAAAGACTTAAAAATGACCACGGTTAAAGATTTGATGAAAGTTCATAATAATGCAATTGACAAGGAAATTTAGTTATTTCTGAGATATATATTTTAAAGTAATAACTAGAATTATGACTTATAACATTATACCAGAACATATAAGATTTTTAGAAATTTCATGTAATGTCTGAAACATTTATATTAACATATTTCCATACAAATAACGCAAAGAAAGTTTCATATTAGTTGTTTTTTGTTTGTTTCTTTATACTGCAGGTTCTTATTAGTCATCAATTTTATACACATCAGTGTATACATGTCAATCCCAGTCGTCCAATTCAGCACACCGCCATCCCCACCCCACCAGTTTTCCCCCCTTAGTGTCCATACGTTTGTTCTCTACATCTGTGTCTCAACTTCTGCCCTGCAAACCAGTTCATCTGTACCATTTTTCTAGTTTCCACATACATGCGTTAATATACAATATTTGTTTTTCTCTTTCTGACTTACTTCACTCTGTATGACAGTCTCTAGATCCATCCACGTCTCAACAAATGACTCAATTTCGTTCCTTTTTATGGCTGAGTAATATTCCATCGTATATATGTACCACAACTTCTTTATCCATTCGTCTGTCATTGGACATTTAGGTTGCTTCCATGACCTGGTTATTGTAAGTAGTGCTGCAGAGAACATTGGGGTGCATGTGTCTTTTTGAATTATGGTTTTCTCTGGGTATATGCCCAGTAGTGGGATTGCTGGATCATATCCTTTAGCTTTTCTTTATTTTTTTTTTTTGTGGTACGCGGGTCTCTCACTGCCATGGCCTCTCCCGTTGCGGAGCACAGGCTCAGCCACTCCACGGCACATGGGATCTTCCTGGACCGGGGCACGAACCCGTGTCCCCTGCATCGGCAGGCGGACTCCCAACCACTGCGCCACCAGGGAAGCCCTATGCTTTAGTTTTTTAAGGAACCTCCATACTGTTCTCCACAGTGGCTGTATCCATTTACATTCCCACCAACAGTGCAAGAGGGTTCCCTTTTCTCCACACCCTCTCCAGCATTTGTTGTTTGTATATTTTCTGATGATGCCCATTCTAACTGGTGTGAGGTGATACCTCATTGTAGTTTTGATTTGCTTTCTCTAATAATTAGTGATGTTGAGCAGCTTTTCCTGTGCTTCTTGGCCATCTGTATGTCTTCTTTGGGGAAATGTCTGTTTAGGTCTTCTGCCCATTTTTGGATTGGGTTGTTTGTTTCTTTAATATTGAGTTGCATGAGCTGTTAATGTATTTTGGAGATTAATCCTTTGTCCGTTGATTCGTTTGCGAATATTTTCTCCCATTCTGAGGGTTGTCTTTTCGTCTGCTTATGGTTTCCTTTGCTGTGCAAAAGCTTTGAAGTTTCATTGGGACCCATTTGTTTATTTTTGTTTTTATTTCCATTACTCTAGGAGGTGGATCAAAAAAGATCTTGCTGTGGTTTATGTCAAAGGGTGTTCTTCCTGTGATTTCCTCTAAGAGTTTTATAGTGTGCAGTCTTACATTTAGGTCTTGAATCCATTTTGAGTTTATTTTTGTGTATGGTGTTAGGGAGTGTTCTAATTTCATTCTTCTACATGTAGCTGTCCAGTTTTCCCAGCACCACTTATTGAAGAGACTGTCTTTTCTCCATTGTATATCTTTGCCTCCTTTGTCATAGATTAGTTGACCATAGGTGCGTGGGTTTACCTCTGGGCTTTCTATCTTGTTCCATTGATCTACGTTTCTGTTTTTGTGCCGGAACCATATTGTCTTGATTACTGTAGCTTTGTAGTATAGTCCGAAGTCAGGGAGTCTGATTCCCCCAGCTCCGTTTTTTTCCCCTCAAGACTGCTTCGCTATTCGGGGTCTTTTGTGTCTCCATACAAATTTTAAGTTGATTTGTTCTAGTTCTGTAAAAAATGCCACCAGTAATTTGATAGGGATTGCATTGAATCTGTAGATTGCTTTGGGTAGTATAGTCATTTTCACAATATTGATTCTTCCAATCCAAGAACATGGTATATCTCTCCATCTGTTGGTATCATCTTTGATTTCTTTCATCAGTGTCTTATAGTTTTTTACATACAGGTCTTTTGTTTCCCTAGGTAGGTTTATTCCTAGGTATTTTTTTGTTATTGTTGCAGTGGTAAATGGGAGTGTTTCCTTAATTTCTCTTTCAGATTTTTCATCATTAGTGTATAGGAATGCAAGAAATTTCTGTGCATTAATTTTGTATCCTGCAACTTTACCAAATTCATTGCTTAGCTCTAGTAGTTTTCTGGTGGCATCTTTAGGATTCTCTATGTATAGTATCATGTCATCTGCAAACACTGACAGTTTTACTTCTTCTTTTCCAATTTTTTTTCCTTTTATTTCTTTTTCTTCTGTGATTGCCATGGCTAGGACTTCCAAAACTATGCTGAATAATAGTGGTGAGAATGTTCATCCTTGTCTCGTTCCTGATCTTAGAGGAAATGCTTTCAGTTTTTCACCATTGAGAAGGATGTTTGCTGTGGCTTTGTCGTATATGGCCTTTATTATGTTCAGGTAGATTCCCTCTATGCCCACTCTCTGGAGAGTTTTTATCATAAATGGGTGTTGAATTTTGTCAGAAGCGTTTTCTGCATCTTTTTCTGAGATGATCATATGGTTTTTATTCTTCAATTTGTTAATATGGTGTATCACATTGATTGATTTGCGTATATTGAAGAATCCTTGCATCCCTGGGATATATCCTACTTGATCATGGTGTATGATCCTTTTAATGTGTTGTTGGATTCTGTTTGCTGGCATTTTGTTGAGGATTTTTGCATCTATATTCATCAGTGATATTGGTCTGTAATTTTCTTTTTTTGTAGTATCTCTGTGGTTTTGGTATCAGGGTGATGGTGGCCTCATAGAATGAGTTTGGGAGTATTCCTTCCTCTGCAATTTTTTGGAAGAGTTTGAGAAGGACAGGTGTTAGCTCTTCTCTAAATGTTTGATTGAATTCACCTGTGAAGCCATCTGGTCCTGGACTTTTGTTTGTTGGAAGATTTTTAATCACTGTTTCAATTTCATTACTTTTGATTGGTCTGTTCTTATTTTCTGTTTCTTCCTGGTTCAGTCCTGGAAGGTTATACCTTTCTAAGAATTTTTCCACTTCTTCCAGGTTGTCCATTTTATTGGCATACAGCTGCTTGTAGTAGTCTCTTAGGATGCTTTGTATTTCTGCGTTGTCTGTTGTAACTTCTCCTTTTT